ACCCATAGCCGAAGTGGTCTGACATGGACAGGGCACCGACCGTGGGGCAGGCAAGGTTGGCAGCAAAGAAAAGTGCTTGAGCTATATCTTTTCGACGGCATTCTGAAGGAGATTATTAAGAGCAGTGCAGAAATCTTCGACACAGTGAAACAAGAGCTAGGCGACAAACGCGGCGTTATTTCGTTCTCGGCTCTAAACAGTGTCGATTATCTTTCATCGAGTACAAAGTGGCAATTTTACCAGCAGATCCTTCAGGTCGTGGAACAAGAGCTCTCGGATGTGCTGTCAACTGTCGCTAAATGGGAGACGCGCGAGAAGGACAGAGGTCACGAGCGACCTCGCTGGACACGCAACGACGAGCGCAAGTACCGTGGCTCCATTGGAAAGATGCAAGGGTCGACAGCCCGCCGCATCAGGGATTTGCAAAAACACCGGAACGACGTACGGTCATTGAAAGAACAGCTGAAAAGCGAACAGCAGCAGAGCCGCGACAACATCTCAGTAATTGACGCAGAAAATGTCCGGCTCTTTACGTACGTGACCGTGGTGTTCTTGCCACTCGGGTTTGCGGCCAGCATATTCAGCATGAGCGAGGAACCGCCAAGCAGCGTTCTCAAGCCTATGATTGTTTGTTCTGCTGTTGCGCTCGCCCTCACATTCGTGGCGCTGGGGAACGCGAAGAAAGTGTCGACGGCGATAAGTAAGTACTCTCACGACAAGATCTACAGCAACAAGTTGAGCTCTGGACGTGAGGTCCGGGGTGATGACGGGCGCGTGTTCCCTACACGTCAACAAGAAGATGCCGAGATCGGTAGCACGTCTGAAGAGGACGATACAACTCCAGAGTCTGAAACGATCCATCAAGAGAACCATAACACCAGCTTCTCAAGGCACTTCTGGTTTTGGATTGAATATGTTTTCATCAATCTTCCCGCTCGAAGAGTCTCAGTGGCATATTTAGATTTGATTGCCGAGAACCCCAGCCACTGCAGGTATTTTCATGTGCCCGTGGGAATCATCGTGTTGCCTATGCTTCTTTTCGCACGTCTAATTCAATTTCTTCTTCTTACTGTCATGGATCTGGGTCAGCTTGCTTGGGGTAAGTCTCTTCGAACTGAACCTAAGCCCCTACTTTTCGAAAGATTGATCTCAATACTGACTGGGCCTATCGAAGGATGCATCTCGCTTTTCTTCACATCAGACAGGCGGGATGAGTACAGTAACTTGGGGGACCGGATGAACTGGCTGACAAACCCCACTTACATATATCGTCCACTTGAGAATAGAGTCAAGAATGTGAACGAACGTCTAGCTGACCAACGGATTGAGAAAGAGCGACCCCCCATAGAAGAGGAATTCAGTGACGAGGAAACATGATAATGTCGCATTTTATGCCAATCATAATAAAGTTCTTTGCTTTGATTTTCATCTGGTATTTACACACTAAATAGTCTCAGGAGCACCCAAATTTGCTTCCAGTCGCTGGATTTAGAAGTGCTCTTATCCTTTTCCGAGTAGCTTGCGTCTGAAATTTCTATCTCTCACTTCAGTTTGATGCGAGGGCAATTCTCCAGAAGCAACAAAAATACCAGGCAATACTCGGCGCCCCTAATCTGTGAGCAAAATGCTCAATTTCCAACCTCAATAGTCTTCGTCTCCCACTCCCCTATCAAAGATCCGGCACCAGCACCGACAGACGTCAACTTCTCGGGGCTTTGCAACACTTCCTCCGTAGTCAGACCAGGCCAGACAGCCATCCACCTTCCCTTCATCGCTACCTTGGCCTTGCCTGCCTCCCACACATCTCCCGGCACCCTTGGCTCGCGAAGTTCAACAATTTGATCCGCGCTCTCACCGGGTCGCAATGTAATGAGCGACTCGGCGCCGGGCGGCATCTTGCGGTTGATCATGATGGCATGGGTCTCAATCGGCTCGGAGGCCCCGGCCGGCTGGATGGACACCTGGCCCAGACCGAGAACGGCGGGGTCAAGCGGGGAGTTCCATTTCAGGAGCGTCACGGGCGTGTCCGGGTGTGTGTTCTTGACGGACACTGAGACTTTGGGAGGCGAGGTGCCGGACTGAGACAGCCTCACTTCGAGGCTGTTGAGGAAGGATGAGGAGGAGTCAGAAGTCATTGTGAAGGATTGTAGTGGTGAGTAAAAGTAGAATGTGAGTACGATGACGGCGCCGATTGCTAGGGCGGCCGGGAATGAAAGAGGCCCTCGGCTACGGTGATGAGGGTTCATGTATGATGACTCTTTTTTGACCAGGGGTGTTTGGAGAGTGAGAGTAAGCAATGTAGAATTGAGTGAGGTTTCTTCAGGTACGAGAGCTTCAGAGTTCAACGGGTTGATGGTGATGGAGGCAAAGTCTGTATGTTGGGTTGCTGGGAAGGTGATGATGAGTTCAGGGGGCCAAGAGAATCGAGACTTGAGAGAGAATGAGAACGATGACGATGTTGTGCCACGACAGTCTCCTGACAAAGCTCCAGACGAGTCCACTACGCAAGGAAGAGGAGGCAAATGGAGAATGCCTGATTGGATCGTCAACGGCTTTGATGCTCCTTTAGGCAGGTCGCAGAACCGATGAGAATCATGAAGGGAACGGACGTTTGTAGGATATTGGGGCTAGACCGAGCATGAATGCGGGGCAAACATTTGTTACGTACACGCGCGTATGAGGTTGTCGCTGCCGAGATTAAAAGTTGCCCCGAGCGAGTCTGAATCAAAGCAGCGCCACTGTTGTTTAAATCAAAACGGCACGCAGCCAAGACCTTGCCAAGTCCACGTTTTGGTGTACGGCTGTCGGTAGTGAAAATAAACAGCTAATCAGAGTCGACCTGGCCCACTACTCTATTTACTTTAAACTCCGAACCCGGCACCTCCTACTCCATAACGACCTCTTAAGGCTCATATTAAGCTCACTAAAGGAGTGGGAGCCGCTTCTAAACCATCATAACCATGGCTCCCATTCGTACAACGAAGCAGCTGGGGATGGCTTCAGTTATAGTGGTCTGTGTAGATCCGTTACGAGATGGCCCCGCTTGACACACCCACCTCTATCCGCGGCTGCGCGCTTCGGTTGGTGGAAGCCTCGTGTGTCAGCTTTCCTGTTCGTCTCTATTTTGGACATGATCGGATAATTTCCATCCTCCCAACTTCGCACCCGCATCCCGAACCACTGGGACAATTCTCCGTGGTGGAACGTTGCCCCGGCTTCGCACCCGTATCCATGAAGTTTCTTCTCCGTGATGCAATCTACTGTTCGTTTGAGGTCCCAAGAAGGGTTACCTTCAGATCAGGGGGCTTCCCTCTCAGGAGTTATGGAGGAGCCATAAAGCCTTCCTCTCTCGCTGCTAACTATCCTTCCTCTTGAGAAGAATCCAGCATCTTCCAACGGCTTCGTCCTACACTCTCTTTAAAATCCCACCACCTTACTTAGCCACCATGAAGGCCGCCACTGTCGTTTCTTGCCTCGCCGCCCTTGCCAACGGCGCTGCCGTCAACCTGGGCAGACGTGCGGAGCCCCTCGATGTGAAAATCGAGCAGGTCGGCAACAGCGAGCTGAAGGCTAGCATCACCAACACCGGAAGCACGCCACTTCGTGTTCTCAAGGCGGGCTCGATCCTCGATGGATCGCCCGTCGAGAAGGCCCAGTTCTCGACGAGCTCGGTCGATGGCACTGGTGGTAAGTCTAGACTACTACTCCTTACATCACAAAAGTAAGCAGTATCTAATACTATCAATAGTCAGCAAGGTTGCCTTCACTGGCGTGCGAGTCTACGTTCACGATGCCGATCTCCCCGACTCTGCCTTCCAGACCATCGAGGCCGGCGAGGTCGTCAAGGTCCAGTGGGACGCCGCCCAGGTCCACGACCTCAGCAGCGGCGGCGACTTCAACATTTCCAGCACGGGATCCCTCCGCTACGCTGAGGAGGGCAGCAACAAGATTGCCGGCCAGGTCGTCTTCGACTCGGGCGTCCTCCAGGCCACCGTCGACGGCACCCAGGCCGCCTCGGTGCACGCCGCCTTCCACGAGTCCCTGAACGCCAAGCGCGTCACCATCCAGTCCGACTGCACCGGCACCAAGAAGACGGCCGTCACCGCCGCCCTCTCCAAGGCCAAGACCTACGCGACCAACGCCCAGACGGCCGCCAACGCGGGAACTCGCCTGCAGCAGTACTTCAAGTCGACCACGTCGAGCACAAAGTCCACCGTCGCCGGTATCTTTGGCAAGGCCGCCACCCTCCTCGGCAGCACGTCGAGCGGCGCCGGCCTCTACTGCACCGACGTCGGCAACTTCTGCAGCGACGGTGTCGTCGCCTACGCCCAGCCTGGCAGCGGCGGTTACATTGTCGTCTGCGACTACTTCTTCCAGTTCCCCGCCTCCACCACCTCGTGCCGCGCCACCGACCAGCCGTACGTCCTGGTTCACGAGTCCACCCACTTGACTGAGGTTGGCGGCACCGACGACGTCTGCTACGGCTACGAGGGCTGCGTCGACTCCCTCAGCACTTCCCAGGCATTGAACAATGCCGATTCCTTTGCCATGTACTCTCAGGGCATCCAGACCAACTGCTAAATGCGGTGGTCTACGATGGCTCAGGTTGAGACGTTTCTTTGTACAATATTAGCCAGCATATAACATGTATCTATACCTTCCATGAACAAATATCACACCATTGACCAATCATGCACTTGCCTTTCAATTACATAAGAACGTGATACATAGATGATGAGAAGACCTAGATGTTCGGTTTGGGTTGTAGTTATTCAAAATAGGGGTACAAACGAGAAGTATTGGTTGAGTGGGGGTAATGCACGGGTTTAAACACCTTGGGTTGCCCGCTAAACCATCAGTCCACGATCTAGTGCACCTCAACCGACAGCGAATGGTTGGGCCACTACTCAAACGCCAGAATACTGTAGCTCCTGCTGCCAAACCACACCTCAATGCCGTCTTCGCCTTCGTAAAGTATGGAAAATCACATCAGGTCATTCATGCGGGTCATTCGCAAGATTGACGATGCAGACGAGCTCATCCAATCGTTCTTAGCATCCGAGGAATTCATACTCTCTCAGAATGATGCCTCGCCGTCACTCGCTCCCCATGATCAGGAGCGTTTGCTCGACTTTCCAAATGCCGAAACTCAAGCAGCGAACATTGCTGAATCGACTAAGCTATCCAAAGAAGATCTCCTTGAGCGTGCTGTCGAGTCACCCTCGCAGCTGACCGCCGCAGAGATCTCTCTGCTCAAGAACCGCTACTGGATGAATGTCTCGCCAGGGGAGGAACGTGAAGTCTCACGGGCAGCCGGGCTGATCATGGGACCCGATAGAGTCTCAGAAGAGGAGTATGAACAAGCCCAGAAGCGTCTCGGGGCGGTACGCCACATGCTCTATGCAGAAAATGAAGAGAAAGCCATCAACAATGCTATCACAGAGCACTGGAGGCGCGAAAATGAATCATGGAAAGCGAGACAGAGGCAGGAGACTGAAAATGCCTTGTCCAAGGCGCGCCCATGGGTGAGACGTCTGTGGGAGGAGGACAAAGGGGAGAAGGTTTGGGGGTATGGCATGTTCATCGACCCAAAGGCGTTCGCCAACGACGAAGAAGCCGATAGGTACATGGCTCGGAGAGATGGCGTTCTATTCCACGCTCGCGACGCGGTTGGGGCGGGAAGCAGTGCCATCAATAACAAGTGGAAGTTGCAGAAGCTTGAGTGGCCTACCAGTGATGCTGCAGGTGGCGGCAAGGAGATGAGCGCCAGACAAGCTGTTGGTCGAGGCGACGCAGAAGAGGATACTAGTGAGCTGACTATTGACGAGGACCAGAGAGGTGGAAGAGAGGACGAAGAGAGACTCGCCAGCTTCCGCATCTTGCGTACAAGGTTCAATTCTATCCGAGACAGAGGCACAAGGAGTCAAACACAAGAAGGCATCGTCTCTGGCGCACCTGTGTATTCAGAAACCAGTGCTCTAGAAGGCGGCATTATACGAAGCGTCTTTCTGATGGTAGACAAGCCAAGCGTCAAATCGGTCCTTGGTGCACATAGGCTCGTCGACGACATGTGGGTTTGGGCTGTTGACCCTGACCACGACGATGTGGACGAGACACTTACCACAAACGATGAAGCACGGCAATCAGAGACGCCCAGAAGATACAGAGGATTCATGCGTGTACGGCTGCAACAGCTTGTCAATAACCTCTATGACGTGCGACGCTTTCACCAGAGAGAGTACACAGTGAAGGAACTCTGGGAAGCCGCTCAGAAGAGCAAGCATCAAGCCTTTGTTTCAATCCATGATGTTGAGGCCCGGATTTGGAGTATTGATCGGTTCGTGGGGAGTGCCATGAGAGCGCAGCCACCGCGGATTGTATACGGACCTATACCAACGACTTCTGCCGAAAAGTTGGTTCACAAATAGATAGAGAATTGTCACCGAAATTTGATAGGTCCTTACTAAAAGCTAGTATTCAGACCGCTCCAGGCAATTGACTCGAGTTTCTCTGTAATGATTCGGATTCTTGGCATGCTGAAGGTAGTTCCAGTTTGATAGTTTGATAGTTTGAAGTGGGTTTTGGATTTTGAATCATACCTTGGTTGACTTTTAACCACGGCTGGCTGACAACTTCCTCCTAGGAAGGCTCTCTATTGTACCATTTTTCATTCCTATCTGCAACATAAGGTAAGAAAAACGTCTGAGAGTCACTCATCAAGTAACAGTACGGAACTTTCGTGGTTAACGCAGGCTGTCCCGACCTGTGCGCCTCATTTCTCTCCATGGCTTCCGCGGAGAATCGAATTCTTGGAGAAACATGGAGCCGCGAGTTTCAGGCAACACAACTGGGCGGTTGATTAATAGTGGGATACAGGCAATGTTTTACTCTTCCCCGGTACCCAGCTGCCGAAACTTTGATCTTTCTGTACGAAACTCTGAATCCCAATGGCGAGGATGCAACTCAACGTCACTCTGATGAAGAAAGTTCAGAGTAGACCTAGGAGCAATGCTTCCTACCAGACTCAGCTCGTCATTCAAGCATTGTCGACCGGTCCTGAAAACTTCTGAACATGCATCGTCTTCTCTTTCTGGCTACTTCTCTTTCATGAATCATTCCCATATCGTACTTGGCTCACTTACACAACTAACAGGACCTTCATCTGATAATAAGCCGCAGAGAACTTCATCTCAAGAATGTGCGGGATAACAGCCATCATCCAATCCGGCAGTCCGCAGAGTAATTCATTGGAACGACGCGCCGATGTGCAAAGTAAACTAACACGAAGCCTATCTCTCCTTCAGCATCGAGTGCCAGACGCAGAAGGAACATGGATAAACAGCGACGCTACCGTCGGTATGCTTCATCTCAGCTCCATTGACTCAGGTTTGAGATCGTTTGCCGGAAATTGACACAGTCATGAAGGTCTCGGCCACGCACGCCTCTCAATCATAGATTTTTCGCCAACGGGCCTTCAACCCTTACACAGTGAAGATGAGAAAATCCACGTCGTCGTGAACGGCGAGATTTACGACCACTTCGGCATCCGCGGCCGCTGTACCACCGAGTTCGATTACAACTTCTCCGGGAGGAGCGACAGTGAAGTCATCCTGGCTCTGTACCAACACCACGGAGTTCGCGGGCTCTTTAAGCACCTGCGTGGCGAATTCGCCTTCGTCTTATACGGTGAGCGATCCGGTGATGTTATCGCCGCGAGGGACCGGTTCGGCATCGAGCCTCTTTTCTGGACGTACAGTACCGAGACGCCGGCCAAGCTCTTGATCGCCTCGGAGATCAAGGGGTTTCTGCCAATGGGGTGGGACCCCGAGTAGGACGTCGATGCCATTTGCAGCGGTGCGGCGGTTCTGGGCGAAGGCACGCTGTTCAAGGGAGTGAAGAAGGTGTTGCCGGGGCATTGGGTGCAGTTCGGTCGAGATGGGAGCGTGACGCAGCATCGGTATTGGGATGCCGAGTATGCGGATAAGGTAAGTGGCTTCACATGAATGTATAAGCCGAACGGTGATTGATAGGCTTACAAGCTGTTTAGACCGTCAAAGAGACACGCAGTATGGATGAGATGGTCGACGGAGTTCGCGAGCGCTTAGTAGATGCCGTACGCCTCCGCCTCCAAGCCGATGTCCCCGTCGGCATCTATCTTTCAGGTGGTCTCGACTCGTCCATTGTGGCTGGTATAACAACGCAGCTCGTACGAGAAAGAGGAGTGAAGCTGGGGAACCAGGATATTAAAGATAGGATCACTTGCTTTAGCATCTCCTTTGCTTCTGATTCCCAGTATAACGAATACGGTAGGTCAATGGGTGCACCCACGCCCTAGATTCATGCTAACAACTTGACAAGACATTGCAGAACGCACAGAAGAATGGCTAGACTTGAACACTGTGAAAAAAGTCATGGACGAGGAAGAACTAGCAAAGCACTTCGCCGACTTCGTATACCACACCGAGCACCACCACTTCGACATGAACAGCGTCGGGAAGTACGCCCTCTCAGAGCTACCTCGCCAGCAAGGGATCCCCATCGTGCTGACGGGTGAGGGGGCAGATGAGCACTTTGCAGGGTACCTATTCCTAGTCTCCGACTTCCTACGTGAGCCCGACGATGCCTTGCCGTTGACGGAGCTAACGAAGGATACCGAGCTTCGGGAAGCGCTAAACGAGTCCGCCGCAGCGCAGTTGCGAAGCATATACAAAGGTATGGGCATGTTTGATCACTCCCGAACGGAAGAAAGCACCGGCTTCGACTCTCTCGCAGGCTTGGACGTCTTCATGGTCCAATGGCGAGGCTTTCCCTCATAGGACGTGTTTGCCCCCTGGGTGAGAGAAAAACAGAACACACTCAGCGTCTACGAAGCGATCCTCAACTCCGTCCCCCCAGACGCCCAGGAGAAGATTCGAACGCGCTGACACAGCCTCCACTCGGCGCTGTACGTCTTCCTCACTTCCTCAAGACCTCCATGGCGAACATGGTCTTGACCTGTCTGGGCGACAGGTCGGAGATGGCGCACAGTACCGAGGCGCGTCTCTCGTTCCTGGACCACGAGCTGGCGGAGTACGTCAATGGGCTTCCGCCGAGCGTCAAGATGAGCTATAGTAAGCCCGAGGATTCCATAGGAATCAATAACGACGAGAAAGAGAAGAGAAAGAAAGTAGCGCCTCAGAGCTTCTTCTGGGAGAACATGGCCGCCGTCCGAGATCGCATCATTGACAAGAAGGTCCTGCGGGAGGCGGGGCGGCCGTTCATCACGGACGAGATCTACCACCGCAAGAAGCACCCGTACTCGTCCCCATGGAAGTGGCCCGTGGGAGGGCCGGTACAGCGAATGTTTAGGGGGTTGCTGACGAAAGAGGCGGTCGAATGCCTTGGCTTTGTCGACTTTGGGAGCATATCACGGTGTCTTGAGACTGCATTTGGTGAAAGCGGTGACCCCGCAGCGTCCAGAAAGATACTTGTCGTCGGTGCCTGGGTGGTTTTGAGTCAGAAATTTGGCGTGAAACCGGCCAGATCTCAGAGATAGATCAATAGGGACGCTGAAGGGGGTGATTTGCTGCTGCGGCACTTGATGCATTCTGTCAGGATGAGGAGAAGACACCGCGCGCTTGGATTGAAGTCATTGACTTTCAGAGTCGCACAACCATATCAGCTGCCCAGACCGCACGAGATAGTATCAAGCCAAAATTCCGCAAGAAAGACAGAGCTGGATCGAGGGCATGCCGTAGGTTACGGGCAGGATGCCGTGATCTCTCTAGGGCTTCACTTTGAGCTTGTCTGCTTTCCGTCGTGCCCGCGAAAAGGGTAGCTACCTTCTTATTATGCCATGCCTCTGGCATCTCAACAGCAAGACGCACCGGTGTTCAAGCGTATTCGCGCAACTAAATACGAGAGTTTCAATTCTCTCTTACTCAGATGTCAATGGCTTAGCCATTTCCCGGCTCTCAGTTCAGGTCACCAGGAGGGTGAGTAAGTAGTGATCGGCAGCCCTGGTCCTCACCTCCATCATGAACCATTGGCTTCAATTATCAACTTCGTACCGCCAAGAAAGCAGATGAACTGACCGAGCATATTTCTATCCCCTTATGGCTATATCTTTCGACGGTACGGTGAAGCAACTGAGGGGAGCCGTGGTAAAATTTATGTGCAAGTGAAACCTGCATCTAGATGTCTCGCCGTTTACGGGTGTCAAACGAGATTAAGAGAAATTGCAGGCAAGCAGGACCAAGTAGTCCAACAACACCACGATGCAAAGTTACGACAGGTCCGAACAGATCGCAATAGTTGCTACGCCGGCAGTGCTTCCCGCCCTGGCTTACACAACGGTTGGACAGATTCGGTTGACGCCTGCAACGATCCGGCAAGTTACCTCATACATCGCGCGAGTGAAAGTAGGCATAAGTCTGTAAGGAGAAGCAAGAAACGAGCCTCTCGCAGATCACAAAGGATCAACACCAAAACATACTAAAAACACCTTGACAACCCCGCCAAGCTGACAAGACGCTAGAATCTTGTATCCCGATCTGGCATCATCCGAGTACGCGTCAAGGAGCGGGAGTAACGAGACACCTGCGCGGGGTGCCGTTGATCAACAGAGGGGAAGTGAGACAGCAAAGCCAGTCTCAGTTCTCCGGCAGCGGTACGGCAACGGGCCGTGACTAGTGCCCGCTCCTGCTGCTCCTCCCCGTTGACATTGACAGCTCTTGACCTCCAATTTGCACGTCGTTGAGATCAAGGAAAGAAAGGGGGAGAGGGCGGTCTGGCTCGTCTATAAATGAGCCAGAGATCCTCAGATGGAGATGAGTAGAAGAATCAGGCTCTTCTTGACCATCAATCACTCAGATTCCAATTCGAAACCCAAGCAGAGACTTCTTCGCTCTTCCTAAACTTTCCAGCAAAACATCACCCATCATGCCGGGTCTTCCCACTGCCACTGACGAGGAAGTTGGCTTCCAGCCGATCCCGTCAAACCCCTACCTCAAGCAGCCGGGATCCGTCCCAGGCTCGATCTCCAGAGGTGCCAAGTCCTCATGGGGTTCCTTCATGCCCCCCAACACCTACGAGCCCGTCGCAGACGAAGGAATCATCCACTTCAACCCCATCATCATCCTCTTTATGTCCCTTATTCCAAAGGACGACCTTACCAAGGCTGTTCAGTCGGCACTGGGGAAAATCCCAGAATTCATGGCGAAAATGGGCATCGAAGACGCAGACACATTCTACAAGTTTGCCAACGACATGCTCAAGTGGACTCCCACCGAGAACGTCCAGGCCAAGGATGTGTACGACATCCTGTGCCTGTTCTACTTCATCCTCGACCAGCAGCCGCTGCTGCGCAAGCAGACGCTCGTCCACCCGAGCTCGGTTGGGTTGCCGCTGACCCCGCTATCGAGCTGGATCGTGGTGTTTGCGCAGCTCATCGGGCTCTTCATGGACACGCCGGCGTCCATCAACGAGAAGACCTTCCAGACGTTTGTCGACTCGCCAAAGTACATGATCAAAGAAGAGGCACTCATCCCCGAAGGCGGCTTCCGCACCTTCAACGACTTCTTCTCCCGCCACCTCAAGCCGGGCGTAAGACCCATTGCGGATCAGGACGATGATAGGGTCATCACTTACCCTGCGGACTGCACCTACGACAATTCGCTCTACAACCAGAGCATCGTCAACGTTCAGGACACGGGTATCATTGAGATCAAGGGCCTCCCCTGGACCATCGGAGCCCTGCTCCAGGGCAGCGAGTATGCGGACTGTTTCCACGGGGGCGTCTGGATGCATGCCTTCTTGAACACGTTCAACTACCACCGGCAGCACGCGCCCGTCTCCGGGACAGTCATCGAGGCCAAGAACATCCAGGGAGCGGCGTACCTCGAAGTGGACCAACAGTGTCGTCCGATCCGCAAGCTCTTCGTGACGGCCGAGGACATTGAGAAGGACCCCAACTGCCGGCCCGAGGCGCCCGACTCCCCGGGCTACCAGTTCCTCCAGACGAGAGGCCTGGTAATCATTGACAATCCGGTGCTCGGCAAGGTGGCCGTGCTGCCGATTGGCATGGCCATGGTCTCGTCGGTCAAGCTATCGGTCCGCGTGGGACAGAAGCTGCAGAAGGGCCAGGAGATCTCGACGTTCTTGTTTGGCGGGTCGGACATCATCTGCGTGTTTGAGCCGCGTGCCAAGTTGACGCCTGAGCACTTTGTGCCGTCGCCCAAGGACGACTACTCGAGATACGGGAGTGTGTTGGCGAAGGCGCCTGGGCAGGGCTCGAATGGGACTTCGAATGGATACCACTGATTGGGTTAGTTGGCTCAGGCTCATGTCTGTACTCGCACGCAGTAGCTCCCGAATGGTGATATCTGAAATCTGAAATCTGAATCTTGCTGAGAGAGTGAATGACTCTTCCTTTCCCTTCTGCATTCGCCGCGTTTCCGAAGTGGTCTGTGAAAGAGGACGGGGTTCTCAAAGTGTCCATGACTCCGAGAGTGACACAAACGTTGTTCGTGCCCAACAGTGGATTTCTTCTTTTCGTGGCCTGGCAAACCGGCCCAGAGGCCTCCACAGCTCGAGGTGGCGGCCACGGCGAGCCTCATGTTTTCAGAGTCGCGGTCTGTTCTTGAAACAAACTCAGCTCGGCGGAGACCAGACGGGAGGAGGACGAAGACCTCGGAAAGTAGAGATGCAAGGCGAAGAAGCGGACCGGCCCGTATAAGATGGAGAAAACTGCATTTCAAGGCAAATGGATCAAAAGGCGGTGACTATATTTTCCAAGATATGCATGGAAAAGGAGAAAGGTGATGCAGGTTTGCGGCTCTCTCGTATTCAGGGGTAAATGCGGAATGTCAGCCTCAAAGAGAAAACGGAAGGCAGGAGAAACAAAAAGTACGTAGATGGATGCTTATTGAATGGCTGGGAAAACGGAGTCGGGCAAAGGTGTGTGTGTGAGGTTGGGTGACGTTGCAAAGCCACTTGCGCTTGTGCAGCTTGACGTGTCCGACGGTGGGACAAACCGACAACGCTTTGATGTTGAAGCATCCAGGCACAGGCTGCTGCATCTGTTTGCTGGTTCGGTGGTTCCGTTAAGATGCAGCTTCTTTTCGGGTACAGATGACTCATTGCTACATCCGAGACATTTCTTGCATTTTTTCTTTCTGTTGTCTTCTTTCCTCGCCGTTTCATCTTGCCCTGTGTTGAGAAAATCGCCATCATCGAGAAAAGGCAGGAACGTATATTCGTGCCTACCTACGGTAGACTTGGGCAGGAAGTACGGATAATCGCGCCTGCCAGGTTCATCCAAAAATTAATTAACCCCCAGCCACCTGTTTGCGCGATTCTATGGAGAACTCTCCTAAATAAGTGGAATCCGTCACGTGCGATAAGAGCTTCAACCTATCGATAAGCTGCTGACCGTCGCTGAGCCAGGGGTGTGGCGCCAAGGAGGACCGCGTTACCCCGCGCAACCACGTCTGCGAGTCTGCAAGGACCGTCTTTCGCTGACACCTGGAACTGGAACCAGGTTGATGCTGCTGCCGCTGGGTGGTGAGCTCACAGACTGGCCAACCCACTCCTCCCGCCCGTCTCTCTCTTTTTTCTTGGGACCGCCTGCCTTACCTTACCTTACCTTAGTCTCTCTTCACTAAAGATAGTACCTGAGGTCTATCTTAAGAGGTTTCTTTGTTCTACTTCATTTTTTTTCTGAGTTGAAGCAGAAGAATAATCGTCTTCTTTTGCTTCACACTTTCACCAACACCGAGAAACCACCCCCACTCACCTCCGGACGTCTCACCGACCGGCTCATAGGAACCCTCCCAACCTCCCTCCAAGACAAACACATTCCTCGGGGGTCCCTTTCTTTCGAGTCGAGTCGCCCACGATAGAGACACCAAACGCAATCAGACAATCCCGCATTCCTCAAATCTATCGACCCCGAACTGAAGGTCCGCTTCGCCCGTCGTCGCCATCATGGCGCCGGCAGATGGGTTCTCGGCGCCCGGCGTCGCTTCCTACGACTCCAACACCATGACCGTTGGTGATGGTACCTGGGACTTTAGCAAGAACACATTCTTGTTGCCTAACCTCGTCGGCCTCAATTTTGAGACGATGCAGTACAATGGTGAGAATACCTTACTCTCAAACACGGCGCATTCGCTGTGGCAGCCTGCCCGACTAACACGCGACCACCCACAGGCATGGGCAATCGCTTCTCGACCGTCGCTCAGTACCATACTCTCGTACTCGCCCACGGCGTCATGGCCGCCATCATCTTCCTCCTCATCGTGCCATTATCCGTCTTTACCGCCCGCTTCTATACAGCGAAACCAGGCTACGCGATACCTTACCATGCCCAACTCAATATCCTCGCTGCGCTTATGCTCGTCGCCGTCTTCGTCCTGGGCTGGTTCGCCGTTGGCCCCGAAAGAAGTTGGACCAACCCCCACCACGCAATCGGCCTCGCCATCTTCATCATGTTCCTCCTCCAAATCATCGGCGGCCGGCTTGTGAGACATATTAGGGGACGTTCGCTCCGCAAAA